CTTATAACTCAGTTCCAAGGGGTTAGGGTGACACTCGAAAACAAGGGGTAGGGGTAAAAAGAAAATAGGATTGGGCCTGAATGTGGCACTATTAGTGCACTGTATCTATTTCAAACTATCATGATACGTATTGTGTATTGTGAAAAAGGTCTTTAAGTATTGTACTATGATGTTTTTGCCATATCGCCCACCCCTACCCCAGTACAACCTTTAAACGCTTTAAAGAAAACTCTTTAATAATTTTTAAAGATGCTCTGAAAACTTCACAATTCCTTTTTTTTTAATCCAGGGACTAAATCTCTGAAGGGCTCACTGTTGTCATGGCATCTGGGCAACTGCTTGCAACATTTCCTGTTGGACAGACAAAAACTGGCTTTGAAGAAGACATATTTTTAGATTTCTTCATAAATGTAAACAAAGTCTGATGTGAAATGCTGCTTCTGTAAGAGAGTCAGAACTGGTGATGGGAACCAGACGTCCACCTCTAAAAGCTCCCTCACAGAAAGTTCCTACATGAAATGGTTATGAATTCACTGCCTGATGACTGAGACACTGTTTTATGATAGTTTAGAGAACCTAAACTCCATTCATGGTGGAGGGATACATGCAGGGAGCTGTGAGGCAAAATAGTCCCCAAAGAAAACTTATTATTTCAGATTTTCCACTATTTTCCATCATCAACATTCCATATAAACTCAGAAGACTCGTGTAGGTTCACTGGTGGTTCTGGATAGTAAATAAAATGTCTATATTTGTGTTGTAGTCATGGTGACCCCTGGTTCCTATCACCACCACTGTAAAGAAAGATGAAAGAGAATAAAACACAACAAAATACAGCCCCATTTCCAAAAAGTTGGGACGCTGTGCAGAATGTAAATAAAAATGGGATGCAGAGATATGCGAATCATGTAAACCATATTTCTAAAGGAAAATACTACAAAGACAACATATCAAATGTTGAAACTGAGAAATTTTATTGTTTTTTGAAAAATATATGCCCATTTTGAATTTGATGCCAACAACATGTTCCAAAAAAGTTGGGAACTGAGGAGACACTGCTGTAGTTTTGTAAGTGAAATGTTTTCTGTTCTTGTTTGATACAGGATTTCAGCTGCTCATCAGTTCAGGGGCTCTTTTATCATATTTCTCATTTCACAAATTGCCAAATGTTATCAGTGGTGACAGGTCTGGACTGCAGGCAGGTCAGTTTAGCACCCGGACTCTTTTAATATGGAGCAATGCTGTTGTAATACATGCAGAATGTGGTTTGAGATTGTCTTGCTGAAATAATCAAGGCCTTCCCTGAAAAAGACGTCGTCTGGATGGCAGCATATGTTGCCAAAACATGTATATATCATTCAGCATTAATGGTGGCTTCACAGATGTGCACATCACCCATGCCATGTCACTAATGCCCCCTAGACCATCATGAATACTGGCTTTTGGACTGTGCACTGATAACAAGCTGAGTGGTCTTTAGCCCGGAGGACACAGTGTCCATGATTTCCAAAAAGGATTTCAAATGTTGATGTTGACAGGACACTTTCCCACTTCCCCATCAGTCCATTTTAAATGACCTCAGGCCCAGAGAAGGTGGCAGCATTTCTGGATCCTGCTTATATTTGGTTTCTTCTTTGTGTTTTAGAGTTTTAATTAGCATTTGTGGATGCAGTGATGAACTGTTTTCACAGACAGTGGTTTTCAGAAGTGTTTCTGAGTCCATGCAGTGATTTCCACTGCAGAATCATGTCTTTTTTTAATGCAGTGCTGCCTGAGGGCCCAAAGATCACGGCCAGCTAATACTGGTTTTTGGCCTTGACCCTTACATACAGAGATTTCTCCAGATTCTCTGAGTCTTTTAATGATATTATGTACCGTAGATGATGAAAAGCAGAAGTGTTTTGCTATTTTACGTTGAGAAACGTTATTCTTGAATTGTTGCACTATTTGATGGTGCAGTCTTTCACAGAGTGGTGAACCCCTCCTCATCTTTACTTCTGAAAGACTCCGCCTCTCTGAGATGCTCTTTTTTATACCCAATCATGTTACTGACCTGTTGTCAATAAACCACCAGGTGTTTTTATGGCATTACACAACTTTACCAGCCTTTTATTGCCCCCGTCCCAACTTTTTTGGAATATGTTGTTGGCATTAAATTCAAAATGGGCAAATATTTTTCAAAAAAAATTTCTCAGTTTCAACATTTGATATGTTGTCTTTGTACTATTTTCAATGAAATATAGGGTTTAAATGATTTGCTCATCATTGCTTTTTGTTTTTATTTACATTTTGCACAGTGTCCCAACTTTTTTGGAAATGGGGTTGTAATATATCTGGTTATATAGTGATGTTTTGTTAAACTGTGAGAGGTGTATGAGAATGTGTGCTAATGAGGTTGCCTGTGGCCCGAGGTGAGTGTTTCAGGGATAATGTTGGAGTCTTAGTCTGTTATGCTGCCGTTAGTAAACTCCAGCAGAAGTGGGCACGGCGCCATGGCCTGGTTCCCGCTCAGGGTCAGCCTGAGTGTTATTTTCATCACACTAACAGAAGAAATATTAGCCGATACCCAATGCTGCTAAATACTAGGCTGGGCACTTAATGTCCTCATTCCTACATTCGATTCAATAATGAAAATAAACAAATAAACAAGCGCTGAGCTGCAGACCGAAACCAATGACCTCGTGCTGTGAGACGTGCTGCTAAACAGAATAACAGAACATAATAGACGATTAAATAGCATAAAGATTAGCTGTGAGTATAAGCTTTAGACAGAATTCAGGATCAGCCAATCAGGAGCAGGAGGCGGGGCTCTATCAGTCAATCACAGAGCAGGAGGCGGGACTCTATCAGTCAATAACAGAGCAGGAGGCGGGACTCTATCAGTCAATAACAGAGCAGGAGGCGGGGCTCTATCAGTCAATAACAGAGCAGGAGGCGGGGCTCTATCAGTCAATCACAGAGCAGGAGGCGGGACTCTATCAGTCAATAACAGAGCAGGAGGCGGGACTCTATCAGTCAATCACAGAGCAGGAGGCGGGACTCTATCAGTCAATAACAGAGCAGGAGGCGGGACTATATCAGTCAATCACAGAGCAGGAGGCGGGACTCTATCAGTCAATAACTTAGCAGAAGGCGGGGCTCTATCAGTCAATAACAGCAGGAGGCGGGACTCTATCAGTCAATAACAGCAGGAGGCGGGACTCTATCAGTCAATAACTTAGCAGAAGGCGGGGCTCTATCAGCCAATAACAGAGCAGGAGGCGGAACTCTATCAGTCAATTACTTAGCAGAAGGCGGGACTCTATCAGTCAGTCACAGAGCAGGAAGTGGGACTCTATCATCCAATAACAGAGCAGGAGGTGGGATTCTATCATCCAATAACAGAGCAGGAGGCGGGACTCTATCAGTCAATAACAGATCAGGAGGAGGGACTCTATCAGTCAATAACTTAGCAGGAGGCGGGACTCTATCAGTCAGTCATAGAGCAGGAGACGGGACTCTATCATCCAATAACAGAGCAGGAGGCGGGACTCTATCAGTCAATAACTTAGCAGGAGGCGGGGCTCTATCAGTCAATCACAGAGCAGGAGGCGGGACTCAATCAGTCAGTCATAGAGCGGGAGGCGGGACTCTATCAGACAATCTCAGCCAATAACAGCACAGGTAGCGGGACTCTACCACATAATGTCAGCCAATAACAGAGCAGGAGGCGTGTCTCTGCCAGCCAATCTCAGCCAATAACAGAGCAGGAGCTGGGACTCTACCACACAATCTCAGCCAATAACAGCACAGGAGGCGTGCCTCTTCCAGCCAATAACAGCACAGGAGGCGGGACTCTACCAGCCAATCTCAGACAATAACTGAGCAGGAGGCGGGACTCTATCAGCCAATAACAGAGCAGGAAGCGAGACTCTATCAGCCAATAACAAAGCAGGAAGTGACACTCTATCAGCCAATAACAGAGCAGGAGGCGGAACTCTATCAGTCAATTACTTAGCAGAAGGCGGGACTCTATCAGTCAGTCACAGAGCAGGAAGTGGGACTCTATCATCCAATAACAGAGCAGGAGGTGGGATTCTATCATCCAATAACAGAGCAGGAGGCGGGACTCTATCAGTCAATAACAGATCAGGAGGAGGGACTCTATCAGTCAATAACTTAGCAGGAGGCGGGACTCTATCAGTCAGTCATAGAGCAGGAGACGGGACTCTATCATCCAATAACAGAGCAGGAGGCGGGACTCTATCAGTCAATAACTTAGCAGGAGGCGGGGCTCTATCAGTCAATCACAGAGCAGGAGGCGGGACTCAATCAGTCAGTCATAGAGCGGGAGGCGGGACTCTATCAGACAATCTCAGCCAATAACAGCACAGGTAGCGGGACTCTACCACATAATGTCAGCCAATAACAGAGCAGGAGGCGTGTCTCTGCCAGCCAATCTCAGCCAATAACAGAGCAGGAGCTGGGACTCTACCACACAATCTCAGCCAATAACAGCACAGGAGGCGTGCCTCTTCCAGCCAATAACAGCACAGGAGGCGGGACTCTACCAGCCAATCTCAGACAATAACTGAGCAGGAGGCGGGACTCTATCAGCCAATAACAGAGCAGGAAGCGAGACTCTATCAGCCAATAACAAAGCAGGAAGTGACACTCTATCAGCCAATAACAGTGCAGGAGGCGATACTCTATAAGCCAATCTCAGCCAATAAGTGCACAGAAGGCGGGACTCTACCAGACATTTTTGTCCAATCCCAGTTTAGGGGGTAATCACGCTATTAGCCAATCTCAGCCAATCTCTGAACAGCAGGCATGTTTTACCAACCAATCCCAGTGCAGTAGGCGGGATTCTGCTGTTTAATCTAAACACGTTCTATCAGCCAATCCCAGCGCAAGACGCGAGTCTCTACGCGCCAATGCCAGCCAATCGCCGCACGGCGGGCGTGGCTTACCGCAATACGGGTGCGCTGGAGCAGCCCGGGCTGCGTGTGTGGCTCTGGCCGGGAGTAGTCGCGCCTCTGCGGGCTTCAGCTCAGCGGAGCTCCGCTCGGACAGAACCAGGACAAAAGGGGAATCAGACACAGCGGGAATTCAGCGTCCTCAGGCGGGCGAAGGAGACTCGGAACCCCGCGGCTGGAGGTAGGTTTCCCCGGGCTCTGAGCGAGCTGCACCGCGGTGTGAAGGTGTGAAGTTGGTGGTCAGTCGGAGGGGAGGCGAACTTTACCGCCTGCCTGCTGGAGCGGACGGAAGGGGGCGAAAAGTTTCGATCCAGTTTGGGTGCGTGTGTTTGTTTGTGAAGTCGGAGCTCTGATCACGATCCGAGCGCGAGTCGAAACCTGTGGCTCGCTGGCGGAGCTGAAGTTGGCTTCTTTCTCCAATTTTCCGTTCCACCTTAAATGGTGCGGCTGTTACATTCCGGCGCCGACGAGGCGCCCGCGTCTGACTGCGGGGCCATTTAAGGTGGAACGGAACATTTCTTCTTCAGTAACTTACACTGCACTTCGGCTTCTCTTTCACTGTTACACGGCATTCAGGGCAGTGTGGGGTCTCCGAGGGGCGCGCGAGTAGGGGCACATGAGCGCGTGCGTGTGTGTACACCTGTATGAGTGAACCTGTGTGAATAAACGTGTACTTCAGTAGGACTGTGTGTACATAATGCAGCTATATACCTCTGTCTGTCTGTCTGTTTATCTGTCCATCTGTGTATCCATCCATCAATCTATCTATCTATCTATCTATCTATCTATCTGTCTATCTATCTATCTATCTATGAATCTATCTATCTATCTATCTATCTGTCTTTCTATCTGTCTATGTATCTGTCTATCTATCTATCTGTCTGTCTGCCTGCCTGCCTGTCTATCTATCTATCTATCTATCTATTTATCTATCTATATGTCTGTCTGTATGGAAGTCTCTGCAGTAAGGCCTTCACTCTCTCTCTCCCTCTCATGCTGTAATTAAGCTGTAGATATGCTGTAATTAAGGTGTAATAGAGCTGTAGTAGATCAGCAATTTGTGTTCAGTTGAACAGCCTCTCTAACAGCAGGTGCTGATGGTGATTTGGGGTCCAGCTGATTGAAGGATAAACAGATCAGTCTTTTTCTGGAGGTTCTTCTCTCGTCACTGTTACACAAAGAGGTATTTTAGCGGAGTAACTTGGCGACACCTGAACGTCCTGCTCTTCACACATCAGCCTGAAAGATCGGCCCGACCTGAACATCTGATACCGATCCGTTTAAAACCCACACCTAGTCTGAGCTTAAAGGACACGGTGAGCTTCTCATTATCTTTACTCAGCTTTATCTGTAATCCATAAAGTGGATTCATAACTTTTCTAGCTATGTTCAGGTCTGGAACCCAGACGATCAGTGTCGTTTATCAGTACCTTCTGCTTCTGCAGTGTAAACAGGAGTACAGATCAGTGATATCTGTGTATTTCTCCACATTCACTTCTTCTCCAAACATCTCACATCCTCCAGAATCCAGAACAGATGTTAGGGCAGGCTGCACACGAGCGCTCGCCCACTGAAAACAACCTCTGACTTTAATGAGCTCAGGTCAGTAGTACAGCACAGCTGACCACTGGCTGACCACCAAGGCTGAGATATCCAGCAGGAGCGTCTGGAGACTGGAGGCCAAAGGTTTCCTGTTAAAGTGATAGTTCTGTGAGAATCTGCAGCTTTTCCACTGTCTACCCCCAAACGAAGCACATCAGCCAGGACTTGTTTGGCGTCTGAAGTTTGCTTCTTTGGAGCTACGAGGTTAATGTAGCTAACATGTAGTAGAAGGTAATACCCCACCAATTAGCATGGTGCTAACTGTAGGCCTCAAAGCATTAGGGCTGTTCAGTAGTCGATATTAATAGATAATAGTGTCAACCCACATAAACACCTCAAATCACTGATTTCCCAAAATTTCAGCATAACTAAGTGGTTAAATGCAAACGGAGCGGTTTGGTGTGAAACGCTCTATTCTAGATAAACTTACAGAGTCAGAACTGTTCACAGTGGTGGTGATAGGAACCAGACGTCCACCTCTAAAAGCTCCCTCACAAAAAGTTCCTACAGTAAATGGTTATGAATTCACTGCCTGATGACTGAGACACTGTTTTATGATAGTTTAGAGAACTTAAACTCCATTCATGGTGGAGGGATACATGCAGGGCGCTGTGAGGCAAAATAGTCCCCAAAGAAAACTTATTATTTCAGATTTTCCACTATTTTCCATCATCAACATTCCATATAAACTCAGAAGACTCGTGTAGGTTCACTGGTGGTTCTGGATAGTAAATAAAATGTCTATATTTGTGTTGTAGCCATGGCGACCCCTGGTTCCTATCACCACCACTGTAAAGACATCTGAGCCATTTCACACCAAACCACTCTGAATCTCTCTGTTTACATCTCACACACTGAGTTATGGAGGAATTTTTGACATATGGGTGGACTTCCCCTTCATCCCTTTAAACTGTAGCAGTTTATTCAGTTATTGATCTTAAGGCTGAGTCAGTGCTGTGAATCACTGGATAATGGCTGAGAAATGTACGTAGTGCAGTTATAAGGAACTGAGAAAATCAACATGTGATGACTGAGGCCTGCTGTTAGCACCATGCTAATTGGTGGGGCATAAGCTTCCATTACCTGTTAGCTACATTAGCCTCCAGTGCTAAAACTAAAGCAGCACCAAACACCAACATTTTCAGTGAAGTATCGTTTTAAAAGAGAACCTTCTGCCTCTTCACCAGACGCTCCTGTTCGTTATCTCAGGCCTGGTGGTTTTATTCTTCAGGCTGTTTCTGTTAGTTTGTTTTCGGGGGGCGAGCGCTCGTTTACAGCCTCTCCTAACGAGTTTAATCTGGAGAAGATGTAAAAACACAGATATCACTGATCTGTACTTCTGTTTAGACTGTAGAAACTGAAGGTAATAATAAATGACACATATCGTTTGGGTTCTAGACGTGGAAATGTCTAGAACAGGTATTAATTCCCTTTACAGATTGTAGATAAAGTTCAATTAACACAGTCTGGGTCTGATTATGTTAAGTATCGGTATCAGTATCAGTATCAGTATTGGTATCAGTATTGGTATTGGTGTTGGTATTGGTATCAGTATTGGTATTGGTGTTGGTGTTGGTATCAGTATTGGTATTTGTATCAGTATTGGTATTGGTGTTGGTATCAGTATTGGTATTTGTATCAGTATTGGTATTGGTGTTGGTATCAGTATTGGTATTTGTATCAGTATTGGTATTGGTGTTGGTGTTGTATAGTATTGGTGTTGGTATTGGTATCAGTATTGGTATTGGTGTTGGTATTGGTATCAGTATTGGTATTGGTATCAGTATTGGTATTGGTGTTGGTGTTGGTATAAGTATTGGTATTGGTGTTGGTATCAGTATTGGTATTTGTATCAGTATTGGTATTGGTGTTGGTGTTGGTATAAGTATTGGTATTGGTGTTAGTATCAGTATTGGTATTGGTATTGGTATTTGTATCAGTATTGGTATTGGTATTGGTATTTGTATCAGTATTGGTATTGGTATTGGTATTTGTATCAGTATTGGTATTGGTGTTGGTGTTGGTATCAGTATTGGTATTGGTATTGGTGATGTATTGGTCAGTCCCTACAGAAAGCCTTAATATTTTCATGCACAAATAAGAGAATTGTGACAGATTATTGCAATTAGCCATGATTAACTACGCAAATTATTTTGATGTTTGTGATCAAAAACACAAATTAATGTGATTAACCATGCAAATTATCTTGATTAACTACACAAAATAATGTGATTAATCACGTTTAACTATGTGATTGATCGCAACTAACTTCACTTATTAATGTGATGGTGACTAACTGCACGTATTAGCACAATTAATCGTGATTAACTGCACAAATTAATGTGATAATCATGATTAACTTCACAAATTAGCGTGATTAATCGTGATAACCACACACATTAACATGATTAATTGTGATAACTACAGAAATTAATGTGATTAATCACAACTACACTTGTTAATGTGATTGCGACTAACTGTACAAATTAACACGACTAATCGTGATTAACTGCACAAATTAACGTGATTAATCATGATTACACAAATTAATGCGATTAATCATGATTTACTTCACAAATTAACTTGATTAATTGTGATAACTACACAAATTAATATGATTAATCGCGATTAACTTCACAAATTAATATGACTAATTACTTGTTAATGTGATTGTCACCAGCTGTACAAATTAACATGACTAATCGTGATTAACTGCACAAATTGATGCGATTAACTATGCAAATTAATGTGATTAATCATGTTTAACTACAAAATGCAATTTCACAAATTAATGCAGCTAATCATGATTAATTATTTTAATCCTAATAATCCCTATTAAGTACATTTAAGCGGCAGAGCAGAGCGACAGTAATAGCTGTGGGTAACGAGCAGTAATGAGCTGCAGGTCGTTAATCAGACTCTGTCTTTACTCTGAACTCTGAGTTTTCTGCTCTTTTGGGTTCCAGCCTTTAATAGCAGTGAGTCACTGGCGGCGTAATTTTGGAGACGTGCTATTACGGCTCTGAGAGTCTCGGTCTCAGAGCCTCGTCCTGCGCAGGGTTTTATTTAGGCTGAAGTAAACCTGGTCATTTTGGAGGCGTTCTTGTTGTCTCTGTCGAGTCTATTCTGGGATTCATGGCTGGTTTTTGTTCTCTTTGTTCGAGAACGCTTTCTCCAGCAGGAGCTCCTGAGCGCGGCTCTGTGTTCTGGCTGTAAAACTATCCCCGTCGGCCTGCCGAAGCCTGTCAGGAATCTGTAACGGAACCATTCACTCATCCACGTGCACGCTCCTGCTCACGGATACGCCCGACTTCACACGCCGAGACCTTCACACGGCGAGCTGCAGCTGCCCAGAGCATCAGACAGCAACGTTTACATGATTTAATCATTGAATAAACAAATTCACACGCAGCACATTCAGTTAATACACTCGTTCCCAGATACTGAGCACAAATCGGTCCAGTAGCTTGATAAGGTCGGCACCCCACTGACTGTCTGCCGCTGCTGGTCCACCCTCGGACCACCCAGATTACTGTCCTGCATACAAGCTCTAACTAGTTTTTAATCTTCTCAAACAGA